ACGGGATAGATGCCATCAAATAAAGGTGAAAACCGAAGATGTTCCCAAGGTAGTGTTTGGAACCCACCATAGACTTTGAGTTCAAGGTTATGCCATTTTATTACAAACGCCCCAGCAACCTTCCATGCTTTGATGAATGAAATTTTTCAGCCATTCTTGAGGAGGTTTGTATTGGTGTTCTTTTATGATATACTAACTTACAGCCCAGACATGGGAGGTGACCTAAACCACTTGGAATAGGTATTTGAGGTTTTGCACCAGCATCAACTTGCAGCTAAATTGTCCAAATGTTGATTCAGACGGAAGCAGGTTGAGTACCTGGGGCACTAGTTCACAGAAAAGGGAGTGCAGACAGAATACTTAAAAATTGAGGCTATGATTACATGGCCTAAACTGGTGGATCTCAAAACACTAAGAGGCTTCCTCAGGTTGACAGATTATTGCAAAAACTTTATCAAACACTATGGTATTCTGAGCAAGTTGTTTACTTATCTTTTGAAGAAGAACACCAACCAATGGAACTTAGAGCCTGAATCTTTGAGGAATTTTTTTTTTTTTGTTTGAGAAAAAAGATATATTTTACATCCTAGATGGGCTATAATTGGAGATACTATTGTTTTTGGTACAGAAGTTCCTATAAAAATGGGAAATGTCCTATTTTTGAGTGCAGTTTGAACTATTGATTTTCGTAATTGAAAGTAACCAATTAAGTTTAGGACGAAACCTAGAAATCGATCACTGATCCAATTTGAGTATCTCTACAGGATAGATCTCAACAGAAAACTGAAGAGTAATGGTAGCAAGTGATTGAGTTCGGTAGTTCTTTATATAAAATTATTAACTCTAGAGATATAATAATATAGAGAGGACAATTTTTTCAAGCATCGACAGAATCAAAAGTGCCCCTTGTTTCAAAGAGAGGAAGGCAGGTTATTCACATTTTATTTGATGGTCAGAGGCGAATTGAAAGCTAAATAGGGGTAATTCTAAAGATTTCTTGGAGAAAAAATAGAGATGTCTCCTACATTCCCGCTTGCAGCTTGTGTTTGATACCGGACAAAGCAAATCTTGGTTTTCGTTTCCCTTGTGATGGGCCAGGAAGAGGGGGGACATGTCAAGTATCCACTTGGGATCATGTTTTCTTAGGACTATTCTGGATGTACAATTCTATTTTTGTAGTAATATTCCATTTCAGTTGGAAAATGCAGTCAGATGTTTGGGGTAGTATTAACAATCAAGGAGTGGTATAAGCAAGTCTTTGAGGATCTTAAGCAGGTAATGACTCAAGCCCTGGTACTTGCACTGCCTGATTTTTCTAAACCTTACTCTTGAAGCAAATGCTTGTGAAAAGGAATTGGAGCTGTCCTAATGCAAGAAGGCAGGCCCATCGCTTATCTTAGCAAGTCATTCAGCCCAAAACTCCAGTCATTTTCCATATATGAAAAGAAGTTACTGGCAATCATAACGACAGTGAGCAAATGGAGGCACTATCTAGAAGAGGGAACCTTCATTACCCGGACCGACCAAAAAAGCATCAAGCATTTTTTGGAGCAAAGGTTGCACATCATAATCCAAGTAAAAAAGATCATGAAATTGTTGGGGCTGAGATACAACATCCAGTACAAGAAGGGAAAAGAAAACTGGACAGCAGACAACCTATCCCTAAGAGGTGCCCATCAAGGTGCAGAATTGTCCAACATAATGACCATGGTAGTGCCAATATGAAATCTTACCAGGGTGATGAGGACACGAGCAAACTCATTGAAGAACTTATACTGTCACCTGCAACAAAGCCACCATACTCCCTGGAACAAGAAGTGCTGAGATAAAAGAAACGAATGTTGATTGGTAGTGAAAATCAGATTAGAGAGACACTACTCAGAACCTGCCATAACTAACCCGTAATCGCCTTAAACAACATTTTTACTGGCCTTGTATGCAGAAACGAGCACTTGTGATGTTTATAAAAAATGCAAGACTGAACATGTCTCCTATCCAGGGTTGTTGTATCCCTTAGAAATACCTCAACGAGCGTTCAACCATATTATTATGGATTTCATCGAACAAATGCCTAACTCACAAATGAAGGATTCGATAATGGTGGTGGTTGACAGGTTCTCCAAATATGGGCACTTCATTGCCCTAGCTCACCCTATATCAGCTCAAAAGGTGGCATGCTTGTTCATTGACAATATGTGTAAATTGCATGGAATGCCTAGATCGAATGTATCAGATTGGCACCGGATTTTCACCATTACTTTCTGGTGGGAAATGCTTCGGATAATGGACATACTTAGCAGCACCTCAATACCGCTTAGCCTCCTCAATCAGATAGGCAAACTTGAAAGGGTAAACCAATGCATGGAAAATTACTTGAGGTGTATGGCATTAAACAAACCCAAATCGTGGGCAACATGGCTCCCCTAGCAGAATGGTGATGCAACAGTACCTATCATTTAAGTGTTACAACTATTCCCTTTATGGCTTTATACGGGTACCCCACCCCTTTGCTTATGGAACAGCTAGACTTGGAAATGCCCTTGGGTGGATGAAGGAGCAAGAGGATGAAGCGAATGCTTGAGAGATAGGCTGTTGGAAGCTTTAGGATTAAATGAAAAACTTTGCAGATGCTAAGAAGAAGGAGAGAACATTTGAAGGTTTGGCGTCATCTGTGGCAGTCGAGATGGCTCAAGCTGCTCCTAGATATTATGGGCCCTTCAAGATCGAAAGGAATATTGGGACGATAGCCTACAAGCTGGAATTACCAGCCATCTCCAGGATCCATCCAGTTTTCCATGTGTAAATGCTGAAGAAATATGAAGAAAAAGGACTGAGTGTCATTGATCCTGGATTCTCAAGGTCAAGTGAGAGTGGAACCAGAAAAGATACTACAGCAGAAAGCTATACAGCCCTGTGGAAAGCCAATTCTGCAAGGGTTGGTCATGTGGCTTAATATGGGAGCAGAGGAAACTACTTGGGAAGACTGGACCTTTCTGAAAAGGCAGTTTCCACACATAACCTTGAGGACAATGTTCAGCTGAAGAAGGGGAGAGATGTCAAGACTGTTTAAGGGCGCAGGACTGAGAAGAAATGACTGTTAAGTAGTTAGGATGAAGAATAAAATAGCAGTAGGAATATTCTATCCTTTTAGGGATTGTTTCTTTTGTTTTGAATTTTGAGCCAGCTGCACTGTAGTACTAGGTACAGTTATTGGCTGTAACGCCAGCTGTCCTAAGAGAATGTACCAACAGGTATCCTTTAAATACCTGTACATGTAATAGAGAGGCATAAGAAAAATATCTAAGCATTTCTGTTCTCTCATCATCCTCCATTCCACATGGGTGGCACCTCCTTGGTGCCATTTTTCAATGCACTTCCACTCTTTTATTTCAAAACAGAAAAATCCTTTCTCCCTTCCTTCCTCGATTATCTCGTTTAGCTTTGGTGGATTGATTTTAGTAGAGACATATTTGAGAGTTTACTCCAGCAAGTTTGTCATTGTTTTATCCCATCGGTTTGTTAATGTTTGTTGGCCCTGCTCCTGCAAGAGCTTTCTGGTCTGTTGTTTGAGGTCTGAATCTGATGGATCTCTTCACACGAGAGGAAAATTGCGCATTTCTTTGGTTTGACCTTTTTAATTACTTTATCATATGTTCTTGCATCTTTACATGATACTTGTTATCTTACTTTTGTATGGTTCTTTTAAATATCCTGGAACTTTATTGAAATTTTGTTTACAGTCTTAGTACGCAAGTGCTCTAGTTACTGTATCTATGATCATTTCGTGGCACAATAGTTTATTCAACTTGGTATTTTTTTCCAGAGCCAGAAGAAGTTTCATTTATCATGCTTCAGCAAGCATCTTGCGCGGTTTGTTACAACTGGGATTGAATTAACAAATTAGAGCTGCGTGAAGTTCGTTCTGAGAAAATATGATTTCTGAATTATTTACATCTTTCATGGTTATGCCTTTATGTGTTCATGCATTTGAACCTTTTGAATCATGTCATTTGCACATATGAAAGTAC